GTGAACAACTTGGATGGGGAGCGGTGTCGGGTGGAAAGGAGGTTCATGGGCTGGCTTTCGTAAAAAGAATGGTGGCTAGCAATTGTCCACTTTTTCCCCACATCCTCTGCTCTGACTTCATTCCGAACGTTTCTCTTGATTCGTTACAAGATCAAAACTCAACCCGAACAGACTGTGACAAGGACATGCTTACGAGTGGACAGTTGCGCAAGTTGAGGATGATTCCAATCGCCATCCAATCGCGATCCAATCGCGCTCCAACCGCCCCAACAGTACCACTCCTACTCGCATAGTTGCCTCAAATTGTCCACTTTCCCCAAATCCTCTGCGAGCAACCTCACCTTGCCTGGCCTGCAGCAACCATTCCAACCACATGCACCCCCGGCCACGCACCTCCCTCATCCCACCCCCAGGCATCAGCAGCCATCTGCAACCTTCACCCTGCGGGCTCCTTTGCTTCCCAGCAGGCACCTAAAAGAGCCTCACCCCAAAGGCCCCCCCAAGCCACGCTCTTTCTTCCCTCCAACCTTCTCGCCCCATCACACACCTCGCCCCGGAACTCCAATCCGTACGATTTATTTTATCCTTCCATTCCCTCCGTTTTCCCATTGTTTTTCTATGGTTGTACTCGATTTCTCCATCATTTTACCCTCCATTCCAGTCTCCCCAAGTGCACGTCGGAGGACGGACCAGGGGGGATCAAACCCCACTGTCACCCAATTGCCACCTTGTACATCAGCCTCAAAATCGACCACGGAGGCCACCCCAATTAGGTGGGGAAGTGCCTCAAAATTGACCATGTTTTCAGCCACCGCCCCCCACACCCCCTATTCTCACTTCGTTCGCAATGAGCAACTTCGCCATGCTTGACAGCTGGCTTTCGTAATATATACACATGTAATTTAATATACTGTGTCAACACGTTGTGCTAGCAATGCGACAGTGCCCTGATGGGTGTCTATGAGGACTTCAATTGCCTATTTTGAAATTGCATGAAATTGCACCTATGCTCCATCATGTTTCATACTTCTAAACTGCTGCTTCAGCAAGCTAGCAGGATAGCATCCACCCTGTGGGCAAGCGCGTGGAAGCACTTGTAAGATTCATGGCTTGCTCGCATGTGGGAAACACCCCGCTCCCGCGAACCACTCATGGAGTCGGGAACAGGAAAATCACCCACACAACACGCCAACACACTTTACATCACCTTACCAAGAGATGACTGAAAACATACGTCGGCATGTGCATGTCTATATGCACATGCCCCATCGAGTATGACTGCTATGTGAGTGCATACTGGGTTGCTTGAGTCCTCTGCTTGAGCCATCACATGTGCCGTCCTGAGCCTATTGTTGTTTGATGTTTTTTTGCATGACCCAGCTCTAGCCTCCTTGTGCCAAAAGTCGCTGAGTGGCAGTGGGTCCGCAGCACTCGGCTCCACCGGCTGCGAGGAGGGAGAGTGCACAGGTCCGCTCACATCAGTTTCCAAAGTTGGCACAGGGCAGCAAAGGCGATCGAAAGCACTTAGCACCTTAGACTTTCCAAGACGCCAAAGCATCCAAGGCACTGAGGGGCAAAATTGCATTAAAAAACGGAAGCATGAGACGGATCTCAACCAAAAGTCAGCAGAAGTGAAGCATGGTGTGATTTATCTGCGCCAAATTAGAATTTAGAAAGTTTGCATGAAGCGTCAACATTCGTTGGTTCCCAATAAAATTCCTACGGCTTCCTACTTACATCTGTACTTAGTCGCACAGGCTGGCAAGGGGCAGACATGCGCAGCGCAGCGTGGTGCTCTTCCAAGAGGTTCTCCAGCTGCTGGCGGTCGACTGAGTCGAATCGCTCGAGTCGCTCGAGTCGCTCGAGTCGCTCGAGTTTGGTGCCCGCCTCCATGGCGCTTCGACGACGGCCCGACGGGAATCAAATATCCTTGATCCGTCGAAAGGTCTCTGGGCCAGCGAAACAAAATTCAATTGCTGTGGTTTGAGGTGCGTGACTTCCACACAGTTCTAGAGCACGTTCTCGATCGTTTGAACGTAAAGTCGGGTGAGTTGGTCCCCTCTCTCTCTCTCTCTCTCTCCTCTCAAACAGAGTAAAGCAATCACAATCTCGCCGCTATGAACAACGGATCTTCACACCAGGCTTCTAAGACCCATGGCCACCATTGCCACATGATGCCCACTCAGCGGACGTGGCAACGCAGCCTACATGTGGCGATGGGTGGTCTGCAGAAATGGCAGCGCATAAAGGCAAACAAACAACATCGCAAGAAGGCATAAACAAGTGGATCAAATTCTCCAGCAACAGCTGCTCCCACCTTTTAATCAGGCTACATCTTCAGTTTTCAGTTTGATGCTTCTTGAGGATTCTGCTGCGGCAAAAGGTGATTTCAAGAAACCACTTGTAGGGTTTCATACGATATAATATATATATATGTGTGTGTGTGTTTGTGCGTGTGTGTATGCAAAAAAGTTTTGACGGCGGCGGCAACGACAATAACATCAACACCATCAGCAACACCACCAAAAGCACCACCACCACCACACCAACACCAACAGTCACAAAAAGAAACTCCTACAAAATGTATCAAAATGTGAACTTTGGTGCCCCACCTCAACCAATGCAGCACCGGTGTTCAAGCATACCTGGTAGCAAGGTGATGTACCGTCCAAACTCAATCTTGCTGCACATTTGAACGGCTCTGCTGAAGAAACATGAAGAAACAATTCAAGGAAACTGTTCAACTTGCTAAACACATGTCGCGGAATCGCTTACACCATACAAGCCAGTGCCTGGTCTGTGAGGCACTCGTCCTCCACCACGAGAAACTCAACAGCTAGTTGGCCCTCTAGAGCTCAAATGCATCATCACAGGTAGTGTAGAACAACAGCCAGTTGGCCCTCTAGAGCTTAGATGCATCATCACAAGGAGTGTAGAATCATTTGCATTTAGTTTCACGATCAATTTCACGATGTTCCAAGTCTTCTTGAAATTCTTCATCCTGCTGTCCCGAACTTATACAGGACAGTGAATCTGGGTTGTCTTGTCTGCGTCGAACGCCAGGCTTAACAAGTAACTCAGGAACACAGGGTCAAGAAGTCTGGAAGAAAATCTGCTGGGCCGCTGAAGACCGAAACGAGTAGCCGCACGATTTGCTCTGGAGGAACCAAATACATGCTGCTTCCACAATGAGCCGTTCCCAGGCAGAAACCCCTCATTCCCCTGCTCCGTGGAAACAAACGCATCCTTTGTTCTTTCGGAAGCCCTTCCCCCCTCCATCACAGAAACCGTTCCACAAACAGGTCTCCCACATGGGTCCCCCGCGGCTGCCTGGACAGTGCCATCGTCTTGTCGCACATGTAGCTCCATTTTGGAATCTAGAACCTAAGAAAGTCAATTTCGGCCATGTGCTTGCAATTTTTGCTGCAAGCTTATCTCCCCTCAGAGTGACTTGAGGGTCCTCGCTAGGAGGCAGCGCTCTGTATGCGCCTTGGCGTGCAGGTCAGCCTTTTGGGCGCTATGATGAATGCATTTTGTTTCATTTCCGGCTTCTAGTATCGATTCTGCAGAGCAAGGCCGGGCGGCGCCACAAGGCGGCCCACAAATGACGTGTCTCAAATGTGTTTCGAATGTGTCTCATGCCATCAGCTTGTCAGTTTGCGGCCCGCTCCCACATACAACAGCACTGGCTCACTGAGCTGTGCGCGACCGCTACGGCTGTGAGGTCAGGGCCATCACTCAGTTGCCAGTCCCTGTGGCGTGACGGACAGCACAACTGTTGGCAGTGAAGTGATTGAAGGTCTTACCATTTGGTGGAACTCTACTGAACTGTCAGGCTATCTCTCTCTCTCTCTCTCTCTCTCTCGCTCTCTCTCACTCTCTCTCTCTCTCTCTCGCTCTCTCTCACTCTCTCTCTCTCTCTTTATCTCTCTCTTTCTGTGTCTCTCTCTCTCTTCTCCTCTCTCTCTCTCTCTCTCTCTCTCTCTCTGTCTATCTGTTCTGTGTCTCTCTCTCTCTCCCTCTCTCTGTCTCTCTCTCTCTCTCTCTCTCTGTCTATCTGTTTGCCTACAGTATCTGTCTGCCTGCATGCCTGCCTGGCTGGCTGCCTGTCTGTCTGCCTGTCTGTCTGCCTATGTCTGCCTGCTTAAAGGACATCCAGATACCGAACTCCACTTTCTCTTCCTACTGAGTCGCTCTGGAAGCTTATTGTGTTCTGCTGGTTCTGCTAGTCGCTCCAGAAGCACCACACCAGGGCCACCAGCACCACCAGCAGCACCATCACCACCACCACCACAACAACAAGAACAAGAACAAGAACAAGAACCACAACCACCAACCAACAACCAACAACCAACAACCAACAACCAACAACCAACAACCAACAACCAACAACCAACAACCAACAACCAACAACCAACAACCAACAACCAACAACCAACAACCAACAACCAACAACCAACAACAACAACAACAACCACCACCATCACCACCACCACCACAACCACAACCACAACCACAACCACAACCACAACCACAACCACAACCACAACCACAACCACAACCGCCGCAACAACCGCAACAACCGCAACAACCGCAACAACCGCATCAGCCGAAGTCACAACCGCAATCACAACCACAACCACAACCACGACGACGACCACAATCACAATCATAACCATGATCAAAACCAAAACCACAACCACACCAATCAACATCACAACCGCCGGCACCACCACCAACACAACCACGACCAGGACCACGACCACGACCACACCCAGGACCACAACCACACCCAGGATCTTGAAAAACAACAGCACGGGTCATGGTCAGGATCAAAAAAAAAGGCCAGGATCACGAAACATGCACTTATGCTTGTACCCGGCGGGCCGACATTAGCTGAACATGTCTGCAGATCTGGGAGCCCCGCTGGGACTTTGCTTCGTGCAGTGAGTTGGAGCATTCCTGCATTGACAGAAGTATCCGTTGAGGAATGCTGAAAGGGAATCCAAGGTGAATGCAACCAATTTTTGCCTCGGCCTTCTCGCGCACCAGAAGACAACATTGTGTCACAATTTAAAGCTGGTACCGGTACGTTTCCAGATGTTTCTACCACCAGTATAGTGAGTATATAGCCCTATGCTCAGCCACGGCTAAGCAATGATCGCAATGTTCTTTCCGATGCTCTTGGCGATCGGTGCTGTTGGCACCTCCAAAGGGTCTGCCGTATCCCGATGCATGGTGTAGAGCCTCCAGTGCAACATTTTAGCGTGCTGACCGTGTGCGAGAGTGAAAATGCGTGCGACATGTAAAGCCCAGGTCGGCACTTTCTGTGGCATGAAGGAGGACTGTTCTATAATGTTGTATAGTAGTATAGTAAAGTACATCAGCTCTCATTGTCGAGGAAACACGTTTGATCGTGGAATCCAATGGACCTCCATCCGGGTCCATGCCAGGTCTTGACGCGCCTGCCATCCTTGCCGATAAAGGCAGCTGCCTGGCCATTCTGAAAGATGCACGCAGGCATTCGAACCTTGACGCATGGCTAGAAGGCACAGATTTGTGCGACATGTTGTCCAGCCACTTGTGTTTTTAGCTGGTTCTTCCAACTGTTCGGTATGCCCTGCTTGATCTACATGACTGACTGCCACCGAACTATTGCAGCCTTTGACCTTCCAAGGTCTGAATGTCTGAGTTCCCGAACGCCTTGGCTGAGCCAATGGAGAATAGAATCCACCTCAAGATATGCGATCTGACTGAGCTGACGTGAAAACACTGGTGTCATTGAGAGTTACAAAGTTGCAGGTTCGCTGTGGGGGTCATTGCGATTGCATTTTTGCTGCGACTATCCCCAACAGTGCTTTCCGAGTCCACGGACTGCAGTGAAGCCTCCGGGGCATTTAGCGCCTGAAGACGAAAGAAAAAACTACCAGAAAGCAAAAGCAGGCATAAGCAGGCGAGATGTTTCAAATCTGAGACTCCTGAAATCTCATGGCAACATCGGAGATTTGGAGTGCATGAGTTTCGGCAAGATTCCGGACAGCCCAACCCATTTTCTCAACAAATTCACTGTCACTGGAAGTGTGGAAGCCACGGTGGGTGAATACAACAACCGATGCAAATCAGTGAGGAAACCGCATTAAATTCGTTTAATTTCCATTAAACTACGCCCCCTGCCATTTGAACCAAGATTGGCACCTGTCGACAGCACTGGGATGCTAGAAAGCCTCTGATCATGCATCTCCGCAGCAAAACGCCCTCTTTCATTATAAGTACGGAAAGGCTTGTTGTAAGCGGTGAATTTCAAGCTTTTGGAGTAGACATTCAATGAAGAAGCTCACACTCACAACAGTTCGCTCTGAATGTAGGCTATCTTATAGCACCTCTGTTCACAAAAGCATGTGTCTGGCACCTCAACGCTCTGTTCTGTCTCACTTCCACCAAGATTAATCCTGATTAATCATGATTAATCCAAACCAAAAACAATAAAGTTTTCACAAGTACTCTGACCTCTGGACTAGTTGCCAAATCTTGTTTTTTTTTGCTTTTTTGGTTTTCTCGAGGTTTTGGTCTGATCCTGAATTTATAATCTGGATTAATCCTGATTAATCCAGTTCATAATGTCCTACATCATGACTCCGGCTAGTTCCGGCCTGCTTGTCCCCAAATTGGGAAACATCAGTTCATATCTGGATCTGGGTTAAACTATGTTAAACTTATTTAGGATTTGCCCCCCAAAAAAAAAAACATTTATCTCAACTTTCTGCCACTCACAACAGGGCCCTCCCTAATACTATTCAATACATGTATACCTCAGACACAGCATGACAATCCACCAACAAAAGTGTACAAAAGTCTTGCTCCAGGTTGCTCACGAGAAAGAACAATGTCTCAGCCAGGCAGCTGCTGTTTCAAACCAGTTCTGTTCCTTTGCACCGCCATGGCTGATATTGTGTTGCTAATCCTGGCTCTGCATCCACTCTTCAACGCATTTTGAGGGGCTCTGGCTGCATCGATCTAGGACTCTATCAGTTCTATCAATCTATGAATCCGATGAATCCGATGAATTCGTTTTCAGTGTCAAATGAGTCAAATGTGTCAAGTAAAGTTTGTTCTGAAAGTTTTGCTGCGCGTCCTGCCGCGGCCTGCGGCTTCAGTTTCCAGTGTGCTTTTGCACTGACTGCAAATACATGTAATTACTGCTTGAGATGGCGAAAGGCGAAAGGATTGCAATGCACCAAGGCCAAGCAATCAAATTTCATCCTGTTTCCAGCCCAACCCGAAAGATTCATGGCAATGGCAAAAGCGTCTGGCCTTCCCTTGCTTCATGATTCATTTTTCCCTTCGTTTTCCTACTCCTCTTTTTTTCATATCATGTTATATTTTGTTGTGGCTACTTTCAGTATTGCTTGTCATTCTTCTCCTCCTTAATTGCTTCTGCTCCGTCCTTTCTCCTCCCTTCAAGTTTTGCCCTGTTTTTTAAAACACAGGTTATCGTCACTCTGCTTAGTCTCGAATGCATAGAATATGCGTGGCACTCGTGCAAGCATGCCATGCATCGATGAATAAACTCCACCAAGCTTCAGTCAGTGATATGCGAGAGCTTGCCACCCTGCCATCCTTGCAGGTCTTGTAGCAAGTCTTGTTGAACGTCTTGTTTAATTTTTGACATTGCTTCAAACTCACAGACTGGCAACCGCCTGACGCATACGTTTGATCAGGATAATTGTATTCTTTCATCCTGCTTCACGTTACTTCATAGGAAACACACAACCTGCCCAGGTGGCTCATTCCTTTCGTTTAAGGCAAAGTTTAAGGTCCATAGGCCTTTGGCCTTTGGAATTATCGCTTCGCATTGAAAATTTTGGATCGAAAACTCTGCACATTGGATTTGGCCGAGACAGAAAGTATCCAAGAAGGAGCGAAGAATCTGGCACGTTTGACTGCAGGCACGTTGAAGCCTGGCTAAGACAAAAGGCCTTTTCGGCCTTTTCAGTGCTTCTAAGTTGTCAACATCAGTGGAACACTCGCAAAGGAATGCTTTGTTCAAGCCGCTTCAGCAGAAGATCCTCCAGCAAACTATGGCCTGCAACGCGAGCTCGTTGGGAGGGGCCCTCCCTTGACTGACCTTATGATGCGAACCATCGGGGATCAAAAAAAAATAAAGGAAGACCTCAAACTCTGGCTTGCTCAGCATTAATATTAATCAAAGGCCAAAAGGCTTTGATAAGAGCCCTTCTTGAGAGCAAGGGCATGTGTGATTCTGAAACTCACTCTCAGTAGGCTTGTTGAAGCCAAAAAACATGAAAGTCCCAGGCAAGGCAGGTTTCCATCAAAGAGCCTTCTATATCTTCAAAGTGTGAAGGGTGCATGTGAGAGCATGTCATCATAATTATTATAAATCATGGATGTGTTTTAAATATATATATATATAATATTTCTGTATATATATATATATACATTATATACACGCAATATCTCTGCATGTTGCGTGAGTATGATGCATCTGAATGTTAAACAGCAAATGCACAATCGCATAGCCAAAACTAGGGGCGATGGAGTCTTACAGTATCAAATTGTTGAAGCATTGGTTTTGCAGTTTGCATAGCTCTGGCAGTCTTCGAATTGATTTGACTGGACTCATCCAGGTGAAATGCGTTTACTTTAAGCCGTGTCTCTGCATCACACACTAGCATCCAATCATCTTTTGAAATCACTTATGATATGGATTTCTTTGACGGAAATTTGATCCTGTGAACCCCAATCCCCGTTAAGGAAATCGGCAGTTGGGCGAATGGGGCGAATGGGGGACCTCTTTGAATATTCTTTAAGCATCTTTAAGCTCAATAGTATTGCCGGCAAAACTTTCTAGGTTGGTTGATATCTTGAACAAACAAGCAGCTGTTTGGCTGTTTGTTCAAGTCTTCACTAGCATCAGTCCAGAGTCCAGAGATCAAACTCCTGGCTAATTTTCATTCTTTGAGACCTTGCCACATCTCCGAACGGCAAACAACTCCAAAGCACTATGAAGCACTCTGCCTGCAAGCACTGATGTGGTTCTGATTGACAAATCGGGGCGTTTCTCCATCGCTCCCGCCACGATTTGCTCTATGTCTCCACCGGGTCCAGCATGACGCCCTTCCTCACGACAATATAAGTCACAGGTCACAAACAATGTGGAAACGTGGAAAATGCAATTCACTGTGCCCAACCCGTTGAGAGTCATGCAGCATGCTATGCATTCTAAGTATGGTAACGTCAATACGCCTTCAGTCCTGGAGGAAAAGCAAGGCTACCTTCGCTATAGCTCCATGAGGCAGGGCCAAAAGCACCGTCTGCAGAAGTTCTCCATTGAAATCCTCAGCAAATCATCTGCAGAATGTGGCTTAAACATGCTTAAACAAGAAATAAGAACAAAGGGCATGAAAAAAGTTCATCTATCTTCCTTACGGAAATGTCAATAGTCGGTGGCAAAGGAACGAATGGAAAAATGTGCTTGCAAACATACGTTCTTGCAGATGGCCCTGTCAATACAAACACTGTCCACAATCAACAAGGTGGAAGCTGACTACAGATTCCGAGTAGAGAACCAAATAATTTTTGAACCCATGCAAGCTAGCCGAAGTAAAGAGCTGGTCTTGACGAGATCGGATTTCGAAACCAAATCCAATCACATTGTGCCGGCGGCCCTGCATTACTAGCCACTGGAGATTCCTGCATTCAGCGTGCACATAGTGTCTATGTATGTACATACAACCCACGTTAGCCGTTAGCCCATGCCCCCCTGTTGCCAACATCACAACCAGGTGTCATAAGCCTCCCCTTCTCGGCGCTCCATGCAGCAGCTTACAACTTCGCGACCAATGGCAGTTGCCAAAGCCTCTCGCACAGCCATTTTTGCATTGGCCACGCGCTGCACCGGAGAGCCGTGGTCACAAAGCAGCACTGTATCTTCAGGCCTTGGCCAGATCGACAAGCCTAGGAGCGTTTGAAAACCTGTGCACATTTCAGGACTGCTTGATGTGTTTGATGTTGTTTAGCCGCATCTTGCTAAATGACAATTCACACCGGGCACCTGGCCCCAAATCAATTTCCTCAAGACGTGAGCGCAGCATCTCAGCAAGCTGAAGAGCGCCACTCTCCTTCACATCGATCGATAAGAGCATGACAGCGCCACAAGACCACAAAAGTATCCGCAAGGATCCGCAAGGACCCCCCTACATCTGGGATAATTTGTGGTGGACCTTATTTCTGACCATACTATTTGTTGCAGAGCAAAACTGATTTTCGTGTTTGGGTCGTGCACTTGGCCCCCAAGCAAAAAGGAGGACGTCATCTTCATCTTAGTTTTTTGAACTGCGGCCCTCCGTGTTGATTGGTGCCCTGGGACTTGGCCAGCCAACTCTTCCCATTAGAGCAGAAGGAAGGAATAGAAGACAGTTCACAAGCAAGATGACAAAGAAGACAATCAAAGAAAAAGATCCATTAATCTATATGGCTATACTGGGTCTGTGTGGCTCTACAATGCTGGTCTTCTCTGCTCATTGGTTTTGGAGCAAACATCCTGGCCACCAAAAAGCGCTGGGCACAGACTCACCAAAGGAGGCGCGATCTCCACCTGGCTTGGGCGTTTTGATACTTCCCTACCCAGCGGTACGGTATCAAAAACCTCCTATTACATAACTTACATAACGTTATAGCATCTGCTTTACTTTGCAACTGGCACATGCTCCTCCCAATGCTACCTATGCTTCCCACATCTTCCCACTATGCTCCCACCCATATCACCTGCAGCGCACTCACTTTCTTAGCTGACTCTGGCATTGCTTTTGTCAAGGTGTCGCTGGGTCCGATGAGCAAAGGCAGCAAACGCACCTCATGGCTCTCAGAGCTGGACAGGGTTGCCATAGCTGCCATAGCTTTCGAACTCAATTCTGTACGATGTAAAGTGCTAAACCATGACGTTTGGCAGTGACTTCGTGCTTATTGGCCTCCGGTTGGGCGCTACCTGCTTCAAATATCTTTAAGTTGAGATTGAGCAAGACTGCAAGGACTGCACCCGGTCCTCGCGCCTCAGTTTGCGGGTCCTCTTCATGGATGCGCTTGAACCAGCCCTCTAAGACCTCACCCTTCTTCCCATCCAAGTCTTTTGCCTTGATTCTGTCCTTGGAAACCGGTGGCACCCACAGGCGCTCACTTATCGTTGGAAATGCAACACTTGCATCAAAGGTCAAAGGTAAACCGCGCAACTTGTGATTCAGACGCTCTTACTTAAACAACAAACACATCTGCTCAAAATGCCCCAATCCACCAGTTGGTTTCTGACCTCCCACTTCCTTTCCTCTCTCTCCCTCTCTGTCTCTCTCTCTCTCTCTCTCTTTCTCTCTCTAGCGTGACGTTCCACATCGTCCCACTGTACACCTTGCACTTGACCTGCAAGGCCGGTTCAGGCCATGGTGCAGCGAAGCGAGCAGACACCGCATCCACCTGCAGCTTTGAGCGTTCCGACAAGGCAGCAGCCAAGCGCCGGAGCGATTTGGTCGCCTTGCAAGGATCCCCCCAGGATCCCCTGAGCATCCTGGCCATCTTTCGGGGCAAGCTGCTTAGATCTTAGAAGATTGCCTTGTCAGGGGAAAATGGACTGATGCCGCATAACCCGGAGCTGCTTAGATCTTGGAAGCCTGGATGCTGTTAACACGGGTAAGCTACATTGCTAAGAAAAGATTGAACCCCAAGACCCCCTGGTTCAATTTATAAAGTACGAAGTTGTTGCATCTTAGCGAGTGACGTCTTATATATATATATATACAATATATATATAATTTGTTGAGCTTAAATCTGGTCATAATACTATCTTGCCATGACGATTTAGTCATCACCCTTCTGACACCAACCCGCCACCAGTGCTCGAACCTCAGGTTTTAATGAGCCGTTGTCCACCAGAGCCACGCGCGTCTTTTTCGTGCGGCGCCCCTGCCAAAGCATGCAGGGCAAAGGCCACTGTCTAAGATGCTCCAACCCCCAACACTTGGATACCATTGGAACAGCACTTGCTTCCCAATATCTCTTTGTCGTTTCTGCCTCTGCACCTAGGGATATGTTTTTGAACCAGTGAGTCCGGCAAACCATTGACAACAGAACCAGCTGCATTCAGACCTGCCGTCGCAGGAGCGCAAGGGCGGCACTTCCCAGACCAGCGGCCAGCAGCACCGTCACCAATCGGTCCATTTGGCAAACCCCAATACTTGGTCGTGTTCGTTGATGGGAGAAGAAGGGCGCACTGGTAAATGATGTTCCAGGAAGGGTGTACAGGTTCATGCCATCTTCCTGTATGCCAGACTGCCGATTGCAATGGGGACAACAATAGTCCAACTATGAGTGCATTTTTTTGCGTTTTACCTATTGCTTGTCTTGTGACGGTGACTTTCTGAGCAGGAAGATGACGGCAAAATGTCAACACAAACACAAAGTCCCAGGGTATTGGTTGTGTGATGCAACGCTAGAGCAGCCAAAGAAATCCACAAACCATCAAAGAAAGATTTCGGTTCCAGCTGCGCAAGAATTTAAATCCATTTAGAGGCGCGTGCCTGTGACAGCACCTTGGAGGTTCGAAGCATATTTCTTGGGTTCGAGTATCTAGGACAGCCTGGGGAAGATCCTTTAGATAACTTCTGAGTGGACAGGCATCTGTGTCGTATCTGTGTCTCTGTGCGTGCATCTGTCCCTCTCTCTGTGCCTGTCTCCGCGTCTGCTCCTGTATCTCCCATGTGTTGTGCGTCTGCTCGTTTGGGTCCCTTTTCAGGCTGCGCGCGACTTTTGTTCCACACAGTTGGGAGGCCACAAGCTGTCACAAGCTGTTGAATGGCTACTTTCAATCCGCCTGTCCCACAGTGCTTCTTAGGACATACACTACGGCAGAGAAATCATATGATTGACGCCTAATGATTGAGAGCTCTGGTTGGCTGTATCCAGAGGTTTTGGTCAAATGCTCTGGCCTTGTGCTCTGAGAAGCTCGTGAAGTCTTCAAACTCAACCCAGTCTGACCTAGCTCGGATATGGGATAAATTGTCGGGAGATGACTGCGGAATGCATGGGGGCACCAAAGCACGCGCACATTGAATTTGTGAGCGACCTGTGACCCTTGCGCAGGCCGCAGCGAAAATCATGAGACCGAGACCATACAGAACTGCAAAACAAGCTAGGAACCATTCGATTGGATGTGCTGGGATAAAAGCCACAAACAAAATGAAGCAGCGAGATCTAGACAGCATTAACTTGCACAGACCTTTGGTCAAGTGCGGCCAAAAGGGGCTGAGCATACTGCTCCATGCCAGCGAATACCCAAGAAATCCAATCCACGCGGCCCATGCCGGATTAAGCATGTCAGGGTCAAGCAATCTTTTTAATGCGCAAACGGGCGGTTCACCTGGCCAGTGGATGCATGATATATGCACGCAAATAGGCTCTGGAGAATGCCCTTACATATCTTAGTTACATACTGATTGTGGTGGGAACTCAGGGCTGAAATTGCCTCTTTATGGGACAAGTACTTCCAGTTGCATTGCTCTAGGACTCTAGGGAGAGTATGTCCTTTTCAAGATCGCTTGGGTAAGCTAGCAAGTCCAGAAAATACCAGCCCCACTGTGCAAAGCAAAACAGAACTACCCTGTACAGGAGCTGTGTTGAGATCATCCATGCCACAGTCTTCAAGCTTTGAGCATTCCAACGGTTGCACCCGCTAGACCATGATTACTATGGCATGGTGTTTCAGCCCCTGTGGCATGGATCATCATAAGTAGAATGCAGAACGCAAAAGGGAAGGAAATAATACGGCTTGCTGCCGGCATCCTAAATCCGGGCGTTTGTGGGCTGGCTGGCAGTTTTCGAAAACAGTGGCAAGCAGATTACAGTATGCAGAATGCATAGGCATCATACACTGAAGGCGACGAGTTCATGCCCATCTACAAACTACCTACACGCACTTGGACAAAAAAGAAAACAATTTACATTCTAAACCCCTAGTCTTGCAATTTTGGAAGGACTAAGGTGTAACTCAGCTCGCACCATGATCGTGGGGTGCTAAACCACAAGAACTATGCCGAACATTATGGTGTACCAACTATAGCTCGTCATTCGACATATGCCAACCACAACCGCCTTTGCCCGATAGGTGGACAATGAATTTCATGAGCCACATAGAGCCACAAGTGTCGGCTGACCTCGCGCAGATATTGGGCCCACTCTTGGGGGAGCCATGCGTCGAAGGTCCTGTATGTGCAGCTCTAGCTGTCTGCCGTCGGTATTTCGCTGCTCGGCAGGTCTGCATACACTCTTGCACGCCAAAAAACTTCCACTTTGTCCAACAAAATCTTACTACATGTTCATAATCTTGTCCATACGCTTTCAACATTGCACTCCGGTGTTCAATCAAATGTCTGTCTGCTGGTTCATGAAATGGGTCACTAGCCCCACGCGAACCAAGGAGTTCACTCCAACAGCTGGAGCGTGTTTCAGGAAGGACGGCCCAGCTGCCCTGGCCAAACATCAAGAGTCAAGTCTGAGGTCAAACGATCACCGAACACGAAACAGGCGGAGAGCAAACGTCACCGAACATGCGATAATTTCTCTCTGACATCTGACATGACTGGCACTTAAAATTCCAATGTCCAGCATGTCCCAGCATGTCCCAGCATGTCCCAGTTGTTTGCTTGAGCACCGTAGTTTTTGGTGCTTTGTGAGTGCTCCAGGCCTGCAGAAGGCCTGGAATTTCTCTTTGCGAGTCCGAGTTTCGCATGACCTGAAAAATCCATACCCTCCCGCAAAAAAAAACTCTTCTATGTGCTGGTTTGATCTGGTTTGTACATCTATATAAACCCAATAGACTCACAGATCCATAATTGTGTCGCTTCCATGAAATATATTGAAATACTGGATGCAACCAAACTATGATGATACTACCTGCTTCCCTCCTGGGCATTTGGGAGAGCAGCACACGGGCACTTCGAAAGCAGTATATAGGCAGGAAAAACTATCCGAACAACTAGAGTCAGAAGATGTTCGAACCATGCCCTTTTCCGGAAATCAATCTTACATCCCCTGGACTGTTCGATTAACCATGCCTTTGTGACTGGGTGAGGGCATTGTGCGCATGCACCACAGATTGGGCGACGCATCCTTCGCAAAGATGCAAAAGCAACTCTTCCAAGGTTCTGTGAGAAAAAAACATGATTGGTGGATAAGTTTGGAAGATTTGAAGAATTTTTGCGCAGCTCAGAGTGCCTCTGCAAAAATTTGTGATGATTTCCCTGAATTTAAGCGCAATTCATGGAGCAGTCCTGCTGCGCAACCTGAAGCAAATAGGAGCCCAAACCCTGAGGAATAGCCATAGCTATTTCCCAGATGGCGCGCCATGTCAATACTGCACCTCATTGACTCAGCATTGTGTCAAGTTTTTGAAAGGGCAAAGATGGAGAAGGCATTTCTTCGAAGGGGTCAAGCCTTCCCAGAGCCAAGCACCACGGAAAAGGTGCAAACGATTTACAAATTACTTCTGACAGTGACCAAAGACCGGAATGTTTATGTTCACATAAAGCGCCCCTTTATTGAATGTTTATCCATTTTTCCCGCCCTACCCAGTTGGAGGCTATCATGTCACACCATGCTCTTCCCATTTCTTTTTGTTTTCATGCATGATAAAAGCGCATCCAATATGTATGCGTATCTATTTATATATATATATATGTATACAACAAACATTAGCTACAATGTTTATATATATGGGACTTCACGGTTTCACGTTTTCCATTCAAAGGCTGGTTGTTTCTCTGGCCTGGTTTGTCACAGGCAAGCCATTTGGCTTAAAATTTCATCCAAACTCCCAAGTTTCCACTCCAGTCTGTCTACCTCAAGCAGGGCCATGCATTAGTTGGCACAAATGAATTTAGCAAGAAGACACTGCGTTGGAGGATCTCTGGATAAGCCTTGGCCAATCTGCTGTCTTGTCTGAGCGGTCAGGTGATTCGTACGCGTGGCTATCACAATCTCCTGCAAATAAATCTCCATCACTCGATGACTCATCCATCTGCCTCTCCGCTGCACAAGGGCAGTATCTCCAAACTGCTGCAGCAAAAACGTGGCACCACCAGCACGCAATGATGCCAGATCGTAGGGAACTGTCTCTGGGGTTCTTTGTGTTGGAAGGCCAAGTGCTTTCTGCAACGCGGCAAAACGCCTCCTCAAAGCTGATGGTGAGAGCGTCCATAAGAGATCATCCCTGCCCAAATTTCCAAAAACTGCTGAAATGAGCTGCACGGAATCAGCAGGATCTATTTGGGCAGATCGGTGCTTAGCCGTGACCCCTCTTGTTCTTGGTTGGTGTACCAACGACAGTGCGAAGGATCGACCTGGCGCACCGTCTGTCGGTAGAACTAAATCTTTTCTGCGAGCTGAGAGCGCTTCACCAACCCTCATGATGCCAGCCCAAAGCAACATCAGCAGGCAGTACCTTGGCAGATTTGGTTGATGCACCGCATTGCAATGCCGAGGCCATTGCAAACTGGCTTGTAGCGTATAGCAGGGAACTTTACTATGCGGGAAAACCCATGGAAAGGATGCCGAAACCATCAATGGCATTGCGGCTAGAAGGCCCATCCTCAAACGACAGCTGGTTGGAGCTTGGGATTTGGCCTTTGCCTGGGCATCACCCAGCCATGCCTCGGCATTTTGCTGTCCTGCTTTGTTTATCAGCCAATCCTCAAACTGGTCCAGCAAACTCTGCCTTCGGTTCCTGGTCAAGGACAGGATAGCTCTTCCAGGTGCAAGCTGAACGCTAGCCGCTAGCACGGCGCTGGGCTCTGCCATCCTTTCCAACTGCAGTGATCGGCATGGCTGTCACCGGCAGGGATACCTTGAAGAATGTCAGGTGTCTGGCTGAAGGCATGGACAAATGTCGAAATCCATCGCAGGGAATAAAATCCAAAGAGGTGGCTGGCAGTGCCATCCATCTGTGGCTTGAAAGCAGGAGGCTAACAAAGTCAAGCGCACCCAGGCTGCTGCGACTCTTGACAGACATGTGGAATGGAGCCGCCGCAGAAAGTCCAAAGGCAGCTTTTCAGCCAAGGATCTGCATCCACAGCCACAGGAAACCACATTGCCCCCTCCAGGCGGGTCATCAGCAACATTGAGCCGCGTGGGTGCAAAACCCAGTGCAGGATAAAGTCCACCTGCAATCTGCCACGCGGTTCCTTTTCGAAGAGTTGGTTGAAGGGCTTTTGCTGAGCTACGACCCTTTGCATGAGAACACTTTGCATCTCTGCCGTCTAAAAGAGTGGTGAACCCAACATTCCCGCTCTCCCTGGCAATCTTCTTCAAAAGGGCAACATAGGCACTTGACTCCAAGATGTTGATATGCGAAGGGCTACGCCAATGCGAGGCAAACTCAAGACTCCATTCGCCATTGAGAAGCAAATCGTTGCAAAGAACCAACTCGACACCCTCTATCTCCATGATCTCCTCCTCCTGGACCCGCTTTCTCCGAAGCGCATCAACAAAAGCCTTGGCAAGGAACTCGGCCAGCGCAGGCACGTAAATTGCCGATGCTGTGGTGTATTGGCCCTCAAACCTCACATGCTGATGTCCTCCCGGGCACCTCGTCTCCAGAGCCGGCACATCTATGCCCCATCCAAGCATCCTGCCAAATGGACAACCAGGCCATTTTTGACAATCTTGGCTGTTCAATCTTTTGCAGCATGATGCAAACCTTGCCAAAAAGAGACATCGAAAAGCAATAAGGTTTCCGTCCAAGGTCTTTGGGCAATTCCCATCAAAACCTGCAGGTTCAGCATAGCTCCTGACCGCTGGATATGCTGCTGGTGAGAAAGCAGTACACACAGGCTCACACTCCTCAAAAGGCCTGTCTGCAGCATGTAGCAAAGCCATTCAATCAGCCGCAGGTCTCTCACGTCATAGCGCGGGGAATCTGAGAGCTCAATCAGTGGCATAGCTGTCATCCCCTGCTTGGCAATGGCTTTTGATACTGATCCAACCCCGCCGCAAATCTCCACAAAGTCAAAGGAAAAATCCAAACTGCGGGTAGGGTGGACCTGGATCTCCTCAACCCCTTTGCTATCCTCGTCAAACCCTTCAGCTCCGCAAAGTTGCTCGAAAAGGTGGATCAAGTTTGGCATAGGCCCCTTCTTGTCACCCCCAAGCCAAGGTATCTTTGACCGCTCCTTTTGCCACCGAGGCACCAATGGCAAAGGTTGTATCATGATACCTAGCAGTGACATCAGTATACAGCAAACCCAAGCAAACACAGATGCAAGCACGAGCTCATTCGCTGTTGATCGAGGCAACTCATACACCTCTGTGGCCACAGTGGACTCCTCACCAGCAAAGCTGTAGATCTCATTCAAGACGCATGCCGAGCACCTGCCCAAGCCTTGAAGCGAGGGCACCTGACAAAACAGCAAGTTGAGCTATCTTCATAGTCAAGGCAGTCAGAGCAACCTTCTTTTGCAGAGGAGCTGACACTGTGACAAGGCCCAATGACCTGGTCCTCTCAGAGGGGAACCTATGCTCCAATGACCTTGAAGTGAGTGCTGCCAATGATATCTTTCTCTGGTGAGCCCAAAACAGAGTGCTTGTCATGAGGCAAAAGTCCGCACCTCTGAATTGACACGCAGAAGAAATCATCACTGACCAGACCTTGATCATTTGGGCCAATAGGGAAAGGAGCATCGCCTCTCACTTCTTCCTCTGGATGTAAAGGTCCAACATCCCTCAGAAGAGCTCCATGGGCTGACAGAGCGAACTCAACTCCTAGGTGGTCTCCTTGGAGCAGCGAGCGGAAGGTGGGAAAGACAGCTCACTGGGAAACAGAACACCCCGAGGTGCCATGCCAAGTTAATGCTGTGGTGCCCTCAAACTCCTTCTGGTCACAATGAAAAGGGAGCACATTGCTATCAGCTCGTTCTGGGCTTGCCGCACTCTGGTGATAAACGTCTTCGCGATCAGTGATTCCGCCATAGACACACCAGCCTGGAGGAACATGAATGTTGGTGAGAGATACCCCCCTGGTAGGAAGCGGCTGGGGCCCCTGGTGTGGTATTCCAACTGGTTGGCAAGTCTGCGATCCCTAATTTTGCCTGTCAACTCTTCAGAGGACTTGAAAACATTGAAAATTTGCGTGCAAGCACTCTGGGGTGGGGGCTGCTGAGTGAAGCCGAGCAAACCATGCCGTTCCCACTTGTGAGCCAACTTGAAGTACTTGCTGGGGCCCTCCCTTTCAAAATGTGGACCAAGAGAGGCATGAATTGCCTCCCCATGATGGAGCACTCTAGGTTCAAGATAGGGCAAGTACAGCTCATCATGCACTCCTCAAGATGCCAACTGCCATCAAGCTGGTTGAGTCTGTCGCTGTCAAGTGAAGAGTAGGGCTGCACCGCTGGATCCACAGCATCTTGAACATCAGCATGCCCGACTCTCCTCTTCTCTACATCCTTTGGACCAGCGGAGCAACCGTTGGTCTTGAGGGGGCCACATCGACGAGCAAAATGCTCCAGTTGATGAAGGCGCGCAATGAATTCAGGCCAGACCGACCCGGGACCAAAGGCATTTCTTCAGCTCCAGGAGAATCACACGCTGTCACTAGTGGGCATAATCGCCGATGCATTCGGCGCTGCACAAAGAGTTGGCTCGCCTCCCAAGTAGGTGGACATCATCAAATCGAAAGCCACCTTCCAAAACATTCAAAGCCACGATGACAATGTGAACCATGCGCTTTCTGCCACCGTCGCTTTGACAACCTGGAGCCACTAGCCTCAAAAAGTCCAAAGTTCATGTGGGAAGACAGCGGAAGCTGGGGCATCTCCACAGCATTGAATGGAAAAGGTCCGTGCAAGAAGGGAACTGAAACGGGCGCGCGCTGCAAGAACCATCGCAGCAAACACTCTGGGAACTGTTGAAGTTGCAGTGAGGAGCAGAGGCAGCTAGATGCTGATGGTCATGAACTCTAGGCTGAGCCGGCTCAGCCCTGGATCTCCTCCTCAAGCTTCCTCCTCCTGGCTGCCCTGCTGGTTTTTCTTTCCCCCCTTTTGCATACTTCTTTGGTGCTTTCGTTTTTGGAGTGGCCACCAAGCTCGCGTCCTTCTCTGGCTTTCCTTCCGCTGCGTCGTGTCGCTTTGTCGCAATGAAATCCATTTCTTTGATGTAGAGGCCAGAGCTATGGTGATCCAACGCTGCTCCACCAACAGCGCAAATGCTCGGCCCTTGGCGTAGTTGGTGATGGCACGGTTCTGGAACACCCCTGATGGCGGGTCCTCACTCCAGCTTGCCTACGTCCAGGGCTGCTTGCTCTACGCAAACGGCTAGCAATGCCGTACTGTCATTCGCAAATTGAAGTTCATTCTGCAGGTGGTCCAAAATCATTGCCAATATTGCCACCTGCCACATCAGACACCCCAAATCTCGGGACCTGCCATAGCCGCCAAGTGCAACCCCCCATAGCCAACTCCGCTGGTGTCAGAAGAATGAATGGAGGTGAATCGGAATCCAAGAAGGGAGGGAGCAGCACAGGCCACAAGCCCAAGGCCCACCAAAAGTCCACAGAGAAAGGCTGCCAGAAGGGAACCAAACACCGGGAAGCCGCAGTGGGCCGGACAGACCGTACCAGTTAGTGGTGATGCCCCCTTGAAGGAACCTAATCACACCCCATGCCACATCCATGAAAGCTTGATAACAAGAATGGAATGTTCGTACATTCAGTCCTAAGGAATCATATAGATATGTGTGTGCGCGTCTGTGAATGTAAAACAAATATAACGTATAACATATAAAGATACAGATAGGAGGAAAACCAAATTCCGGACATTTCCAGACTTTGCCATGAATGCCACTGAGCTGCAATTCGACTGCTGCAACAGGATTGGTGGAGGCCAAGGCCTTCATGCCGTGCTTGTACAGAGCGGAACCTGGCAAGTGAAAATTGATGAAAAAACTAATACTGTATATCCGTAACTAAGTAAATCTCAGTAGGAAAGCAGCCAGGAACCCCAATCCAGTCATGAAAAGTGTGGTTGGTACTTCTTATTCGCCAGTCACGTATAGTTTTAAGAAAGGGTGCAGCTTTTTTTGGGAACTTGTTTTTTTATGTTTTTTTCAGTCTGGGGCATTTTTCCTTGCTATTTGCTACATGTTGGAGCAAAACCTGTACTTCGCTGAATTTTGGAGCTAAAATGTTCCATTTGCACTGTTCATCGATTTTTCCATGGTTTTAGCCGGTTTTCCAGTGTTCATTGATTTACCCAAAGTTTTCATCGATGTTCCATAAATTTCATTGAGTTTTCCATGGTTTCAATTGATTTTCCCATGGTTTCGATCGATTTGTCCATGCATAACATGCACCTAATGAACATGTAGAATATAGGTTTAAGCACAACCGTGTTGGGTCTAAATAGCGGCATTGGATGCTATCATAGTGTTGGTTGGCTTAGGGTTTATTAAGGGTTGGTTTAGGGTTGGTTTAGGATCATTTAGGATTGGTTTAGGGTTGGTTTAGACTTTATTTAGGGCTGGTTTAGGGTTTATTTAGGGTTGGTTTAGGGTTTATTTAGGGCTGGTTTAGGGTTTATTTACCATTATTTTAGGGTTGGTTTATGGTTTATTTACGGTTGGTTTAAAGTTTTTTTACGGTCATTTAGGGTTGGCTTAGGTTTATTTAGGGTTGGTTTAGGGTTTATTTAGGGTTGGTTTATGGTTGGTTTAGAGTCATTTAAGTTATGTTTAGGTTGTTAGGTTGTTTAGGTTTGGTTTGGGGTTTGTTTGGGGGTTGTTTAGGGTTTATTTAGGATTGGCTTACGGTTGGTTTAGGGTTTATGAAGGGTTGGGTTAGGGTTTATTTACGGTTGGTTTAGATAGATAGGTAGATAGATAGATGGGGCCTTAGGCAGATAGAGAGATAGATGAAATAAATGGATGAAATAGATAAATTAAATAGATAGATGAAATAGATATATTAGATAGACATATTAAATAGACAGATGAAATAGCTAGATTCAATAGCTAGATTGGATAGCTAGATTAAATAGATAGACTAAATAGCTAGACTAAATAGATAGATTGAATAGATAGATCAAATAGATAGATTAAATAGACAGATAGATAGACAGATAGATATATTCACTAGATGGATTAGATAGATAGATTAGATAGACAGATTAGATAGATAGATAGGTTAGATAGGTAGATTAATAAGATAGATTAGATTGATAGATTAACTAGATATATTAACTGGATAGGTTAAATGGATAGATCAAATAGATATATTAAATAGATTAGATTAGGTTAGATTAGGTTAGGTAAGACTTAGATTAGATTAGATTAGATTAGGTTAGGTAGATAGATAGAGGGACAGATAGATAGACAGATAGATACATTAGATAGATAGATTAGGTACATAGATCAGATAGATAGATTAAATAGATAGATGAAATAGAAAGATTAAATAGATAGAATGAATAAATAGATAGGTAGATTAAATAGGAAGATTAATTAGGTAGGTTAAATAGACAGGTTAAATAGATACATTAAATAGATACATTAAATAGATAGATTCAATAGAAAGATTGAAAAGAGATATAAAATTGACAGACTAAAAAGACAGATTAAATAGACATGTTAAATAGACAGCTTCAAAAGATACATTAAGTAGATACAGTGAATAGATAGACTAAATTAGATTAGATAAATTAGATGGATTAGGTAGGTTAGATAGGTCTGATAGATTAGATAGATTAGGTAGACTAGATAGATTTGATAGATTTGATAGATTAGATTGGTTAGATAGATTAGATAGATTAGATAGATTAGATAGATTAGATTGGATAGATAGGATAAAACAAGATAAAACAAGATAAAACAAGATAAAATGAGATAAGATTAGATAAGATTATATTCGGTTAGATTAGATTATATAGGTTAGATTATATAGATAGACAGGCAGACAGACAGACAGATAGATAGGTAAAGCATGGTAAAGCCACAAATGCCACACACCCACAAAAGCCACAGAAGCCACAGAAGCCAAAAAAGCCACAAAGCCATGCTGGAAAACAAAAAACAAAACAAAAACGAAAAGAAATAGCCCTCCTTTGAGAAGTATGTTCGCTTTTTATTTGTTCAAAAAAAAATGTTAATCCAGTAAGACCCATTTCTATGAACATCCTTGACACTAGTGTGGGACACTTTTGTATGACATCACCTCAGGTCGCACCAGCAGGACACTCACTCATGTCAGATACTGTAAAACACTCTTGCAGGATACTCTTTGGGGACACTTTTTAAGATCCTTTCTCAGACTTTTGTTCTTGTGGGGCACTCTTTGAAGAGATGATACGCTTCACAGAGTTATGAGTTGTGCAAATGGTGCGCGGGTGGCAATGGAAAAACTACCTGAAGGAATCAAAAGCAGAATGAGTGGCAGGTGAGTACATCATGGGCCGGGGGGGGTTGGCAATTGCATTTGGTGAGGTTCCAGAGGCTGTGTTGAAGCATGTTTTGTCTTTCTCTTTCCGCGCGCAGGGATGTTCTACTCGTTGCGGAGGCTCATTTGGCAAGCGCAATACTTCTGGCATGTTTCATCGGAAATAGATTCCCACAAGAAGGTCTCATACTTCTCAAATGACTGTCCCACACAAGAGCATCTTCAAAGAGTGCCTCACTAGAGAGTCTCACAAGAGCTTCTTCCAAAAGTGCTTTGCAAGGTTGTCTTACAAGAGTGTCTGACAAGTGTGGCTCCTGTCTACCGCAAAAATGCCGGACAAGACAAAGCAGTGCCAAAAAAATGAGGTAAATAAAACGGTTGGGCACGGTACTCTGCGGCAGGGAATGCACACTGCGGGGGGAAGCAGCTCCAGAAATCTGCGCTTTGTATAGCTCGGACGGTCTTCAGTTGCTGCACACGGCCAAGCAGTGCGGCAGCAACGTCCGCGCGTTGTATAAGATACAAAGCGTGCCAAAAGTATCGATTCTGATCCCGGCACCAGGGAATGAATTGTGTATCAGTACCTGAAAATACGCCCGGGGATGTTGGGAGCCAGTGGATCTCAACCTCACCAAAAACCAAAAACTGCACAAGCCCCAAGACGGTATCCTCATCACTTAGCACTCTCACATTTTCTCACTTAGCACTTACTGCTCACTTACTCTCAAACATCACTTTCAACTCTCAAATCGTCTCACTTAGAATTGGAACTCACAAAGCTTCAAACCTCTGGAAGGCGTGAGAAAGGAGGATCTGAAAATTCATCACTTAGCACTCACGCATTTTGCACACCCCTGGTGGGGTGTAATAACGTTCGGCTCACTCGAAACTCAATTGATGCTACGCTTGAACTGGCTCTCATGCTTCAACTTGCTCACTGACTTGATGCTACGTACGCTTCAACTTGCTCACTGCTTTTGCTAAGTCCTTCAGAGAGGTATAAGCGATGCAAAGGCAAAAGTGCCAAGCGATGCAACGGCACGAGTGCCAAGCGATGGCGCGCCCCCCCCAGACACCTCTGATGCTGTGCTGAGCATTCAATGGATAAGTCGCAATGCTTGCCAGCGTCACCTCCACAACAAGCTTTCGAAAAAGTCTTAACTGCTGGATGTACTGAAGGTGAGCTTCTTGAAAGTGTGTAAGCAAGGAATGACGCACAGTTGGGCAATTGAAACAAATCCATTTCTGAGTGGAGTGCTGCTGCGGATGCGCAGCTAAAGCGTTCAAAAGGCCCAAGCGTGTCGCTGGCAGAAGGTGCAGAAAAGTGAAGGAAATTGACCTGGCAAAATGGTAGACTGGCAGGCTGGCATCTAACAAAACACAGACGTTCTAATATGTAGACAAATGTATCAATGTATCATTATGTTTGAATGTAGAAATTCTACATGACAATGGAATTCAAGAGGTTAGCAGCATCAGTCAGCACCGTCGAAAAACACAATATGAAGGGCTATCCGGGCTCCAAAAACAGTATTTCGGCAATCCTGCCACTTTCGTCTTACAACTAGGCGCGTTCCAAGCAGCATCTACACAGCCTTGGAAGCTTGAAAAGTTCATTGAGGCCGCGACGTAGAAGCTGCAACACAAAGCACCGAATGGAAAACCGCCCTTGGAGAACTTCAAAATGTTCTGTGCCACTGACGCCTGCCGACCTCTCATCATATCCTCGATGCTGCCAGCCACGGCACGATGGAACACACATGCAAGGCCACCAGCCAACATGGTCTGCCACAAAGGCATGGCCAAACCTTGCGCCCACTGAGTCTGCTGAGTCTGGAGGGTCTGGGCTTTCTCTGCACACTCCGTCGATGATTGAGATCGACTTCTCTCTGAAAGTCTTCGAAATCTCCGAAACCATGGCAATCGCAAAACTCCATGAGGCCGGCATGGGCCGCGTTTGGAGGAGCGGGGCTGCACATTCTGAACAAAGACCCTTGGAGTCGTTGGTGCTTCAGTCTCCTCTGTCATGGGCTCGGAAGCCTTGGAAATCACCTCTACCAGGTCCTCTTCATCTGCATGCATGCTGAGATCCTCCGATGCGAGGCCTTAGGTGTGGAGCATCAAGCTGAGGTCTCAAGCAACAAACATGCATGCATCACAGGCATATGTGGCAGAAAATATGGCAACATGGCAAACAGCAATTTGCGATTCCCGCCCAGTGAGTTGCAGAAGCTTATTTAAACAACCCAAGGCCCAAGCCCTTGAGAAGGGGGATCCGAATGACCAATAGACCAAGGAGAGGTGAAATGCCGCACAATGAGTAAGCTCAGCTACGTTAGGGAAATGAAAGTGCAACGGTTGATTACAGTATATAATAGAAACATGCCATGCAAGGTTTGCAATGGATGCCGCAAAAACTGTGTGAGGACCATCAGGTGTCAAAACATCACCGAGAAGCGGAAAGGTGGGACCCACTCGGAGCTGAGGCTCAGAATTGACACGGCTTCACCAACACAAGCCCCTGGGTGCCCCTAATACAGTTTCTGTTTGCATCCCAAGGGTCTGTGACACTCACTGAAGCTGGAGGGTGTAGTATCCGTAGTGGCAGTCATGGCCGCTGTCGCCGGCGTCGTAGGCGCCGGGCCAAGCAACCACAAACGGCCCTGCTGAACTGCAAAATGCACTGCATCAATTTCTACGTGCTGCGCCCTGGACAACATATCCTAGGGAAGGAAAGGAACTGCGTGTCGCGCGGTGCAGCTTTCAACAGGTCCCACTCAAGAAGAATAAAAACATATAAAAACCAGTTTCAACCCCAAAGTCCTTACAATGCGCCAATCCTGCGCATACGGGAAGGAACTTCTCCTCCAGCGAAAGGAAGTCAGATTGCCGCACATTGTCAGAGATGTTGTGTGCCTCCAGGCGCGGCTGCACAGTGTCTGAACCAAAACTGTTGCATTGTCAAGGTTTTCTAAATGTGCAAACGGATCTGGATCGCCTGAGCCCATTCTTGGGAAGCCTCCTTTGAGAGCCTTCGCCCTGTTCGTCGCCCAAGATCCTCCGTCTGAGCCTTTGGAAGCCAAGTGCCACTAAGTCCTGTCTCGCGCAAGTTCAGGACACCAGCACCTTGGTTTAGACCAGGTCTTGAGTGCAGCAAGCACTTGAACACCAAGTGAATGAGACACGTAAGGTTGGATGCTTTGAGGCAAACGCCTGAATCAAAGTCGTAGTTCCCAAAGATCATGCTTTTGGCAATAATGGCACAGCCTGACGCAGAAACATCCTTACGCTGTATGCCCACCAGCAGGAACTTGGGGCCAAGATAGGCCAGGGGGTAAGGAACGGCGGGTACAACGAAGAGGAAGAGGAGGGGGAGGAGCAGGAGGCCAAAATGATGAGATAATGCTGTCATATCATGATCGGTCATGAATGTACTGCTTCTGGCGGTAATATCTCAATAAACATCACTCCACCCCCAAGGTGACCAGGAGACGAGGGGGAAGACCAGGTATTGAGCCCCTGCTTCTCCACTTCCAAAACAGGAGGGAGGGCACTTCACTGTGAAGTCTCGTGATTGGAGACTCCAGCCCGTGCCAATACCATCCAATACCTAGCTTTAGCAAAAGGGGCTTCAGCCTTGTCCAATAGCGAGTTTCGCGGAAAGTCGCCTATCGAATTAAGTGCTTCTTGCGCATTGTGCTTCTGATGTCCAGCTCACAGCCAAGCCTTGGCTGTTTTTCGCCAGAGCTTCCAAGGTTCTCTGCAGCTGAACTTCCGGATTTTGAGGGAAGGGCTCACCCAACCTTGGCTGAAACGAAATCTATCCATCACATGTTGTGTCTTGGAATGTCCACCCAAGTCCCTCTAACCTTGCTGAACACACCTGACTCTTCGTGCAAATCCAACATCAGAATGAAAGAAGTACGGTGAACCTGCTATAATGACACCTCATCGCAGAATCCGCTGCAAAAGAGATGAGGCTGCAAGAACAGGTCCAAGAAGCTTCTCTTCCAAAATGTCCTTGTAAGTCTCCACGAGGCTCCGAAGCTCTGATGTTGGCAACTGCCAGTCTTCAATCCTTGCAACACGGAGCGAAGTTGAGCAAAGTGGGCCAATGCCAACTCGGGGCGTCAGAAATCTAGGAACCACAGGATGCGCAGCAAACAGTTTGCAAGACTTGTTCCAACATCTGATTGAAACAAGATGCAGCCCACGAACCCGAATGCTCACACAAATCTTAATATGGTACAGATGTCGAAACACATGGATATGCAGTCACGCAGAACACTTTTCTGCAATAGCTTACTTGAACAGTATTGTAAATATTTCCCCTGTTACCAGTCTGCCGTGTGGAGTGGAAAGTGTAGAGTGTGGGGTGTGGAGTGTGGAGTGTAGAGTGTGGAGTGTGGAGTGTAGAGTGTGGAGTGCGCAGTGAGGAGTGTAAAGTGTGGTGTGTGGAGTCTAAAGCGTAGAGTGTGAAGTGTGGAGTGGAAAGTGTAGAGTGTGGAGTGTGGAGTGGAGTGTAAAGTGAGGAATGTGGAGTGTGGAGTGTAAAGTGTGGAGTGAGGAGTGTGGAGTTTGTAAAGTGTGGAGTGTGGAGTGTAGAGTGTAAAGTATAGAGTGTAGTGTAGAGTGCGGAGTGTGGAGTGTAAAGTGTAGAGTGTCGAGTGTGGAGTGTGGAGTGAGGAGTGTGAAGTGTAAAGTGTGAAGTGTAAAATGTGAAGTGTGGTGTGTGTAGAGTGTGGAGTGTGGAGTGCAGAGTGTAAAGTGTAGAGTGTAAAGTGTAGAGTGTGGAGTGTGGAGTGTAAAGTGTAGAGTGTCGAGTGAGGAGTGTAAAGTGTAAAGTGTGGAGTGTAGAATGTAGAATGTAGAATGTAGAGTGCGGAGTGTGGAGTGTGGAGTGGAAAGTGTGGAGTGTGGAGTGTACAGTGAGGAGTGTGGAGTGTAAAGTGTGCAGTGAGGAGTGTGGAGTGTGTAAAGTGTAGAGTGTGGAGTCTAGAGTGTAAAGTGTAGAGTGTAAAGTGTAGAGTGTGGTGTGTGGAGTGTAAAGTGTAGAGTGTAGAGTGTGGAGTGTGGAGTGAGGAGGGCAAAGTGTAAAGTGCGGAGTGTGAAATGTAAAGTGTGGAGTGTAGAGTGTAAAGTGTAGAGTGTGGAGTGTGGAGTGTAAAGTGTCGAGTGAGGAGTGTAAAGTGCAAAGTGTACAGTGTGGAGTGTAAAGTGTAGAGTGTTGAGTGTTGAGTGTGGAGTGAGGAGTGAGGAGTCTAAAGTGTAAATTGTGGAGAGTGGAGTGTAAAGTGTAGAGTGTGGAGTGCGGAGCTTCCCCGATAGACACGGCGACGCTACAGGAAAACCAGAGACTTGAGACGAGACACGTGGGCGCAGAAAAAACGAGCCTTTTGTGCGAGACTTCCGCTAAAGTTTGACACTGTCGACATGTTATCAAACAGGTTGGAATGTCACAAAGCGCCACGCCTGCCACGCAAAACGACATGACAACCTGCTTGGAAACCTTCGAAAAGGAGAGGTTTGATAGCTTCCCCCATAGACACGGCGACGCCACAGGAAAACCAGAGACTCGAGACAAGACACGTGGGCGCAGCAAAACCAGCCTTTCGTGTGAGACTTCGCTGAGTTTGACACTTTCGACACGTTATCAAACAGGTTGGAATGTCACAGAGTGCCACGCCTGCCAAGCAAAACAACATGACAACCTGCGTGGCAACCTTCGAAAAGAAGAGGTTTTGCAGCTTCCTCCATAGACACGGCGACGCCACAGGAAAACCAGAGACTCGAGACGAGACACGTAGGCAGGAGCATCAAACCGAGCATTTCGTGCGAGACTTCCGGCAATTTGCACAGTTTGCAACATGCGACAAGGAGCGATTTGCAGCTTCCCCCATAGACACAGCGAAGCCACAGGCAAACCAGCGACTCCAGACGAGACACGTCGGAGCCTCAAAACGAGCACGTCGTGCGAGACTTCCTCCAATTTTGACACTTTGCATCAAAATCGACGTTTTCCTACGAGTTTTCTCACGAGCCCGAAATTTTGCTACCTCAAAATTGATGTTTCGTGCGAGGCTTCCGTCAATTTTCAGCACATGTCACAAAATGCCACGCCTGCCACGGAATTTGCACCTTGTCGCCACTTGACGCAGCCCTGCCAATGCGATTTGCAAAAAACACGCAACGCGACACGTCTAAAGTGCTGCGCCTGCCACGCAAAATGACGATGGACACGTCCAAAGTGCTGCGCCTGCCACGAAAACTGCGACGCATCTTCTGAAAACGTTGCAAAAGTATTGCGCCTGCCACACAAAACGGCTTTCGACACGCTACAAAACACGTCTGAATGTCACAAAGTGCCACGCCTGCCACGCGAAACGAAGCAACAATACGTTTGAAACCGCCAAAAACGACACCTCCTGCAGAACTTACCATAGGCACGGCCATAGAGCAATCGCGCGAACGGTTGCGGACGGTTGCGAACGGTTGCGAAGGGTTGCGAACGGTTGCGAAGGGTTGCGAACAGAAACGCAACATCGAGCGAACACACTCTCAGCCCCCAGACCAACAGAGTGAAACGGGAACCCTTGCTACGCATTCGAGAAAATAATGTACAATACAAATAACGCTCGCAGGAAGTTTAGAAGTCAAATTTCCGACAATAATATGTACAAATGGAAAAGCAAAGGTCGGAAGAGTCAGAGAAGAGAAAGGCAGAAGAAAGAAGATCTAGGTGCGCAAAAAGGTTAAAAAATCGCAAGCACTGCTTTTTTCCGCGATTGTGTGGCCCAGGAGGGTCGAAAAGTAGGTTCGCTAAAGCGACGGGCGCGGAGCCATCTGTGGAGATGGGAGATGAAAAGTTGCACGCCATTGCGGCGCGAAACGCAAGTCAAAGTCAAAATGCTAAAAACACCTCGGTATCGGATCACTTTGGGGCGCTGAGATGTTCAAAAAGTGCGTGCCCTTGTGGTGCGAAGCATATTTCGAAGTCCAAACGCGAAAAGCACACCATGTTCGGAACGCTTTTGGAAGTTACGATGTGGAAAAAGTGCATGGCGTTGTGGCGTGAAGCACATCTCCAAGTCAAAATCTGCAAAACACACCACGTTCGAAACACTTTTGGAAATTGAGTTGGTCAAAAATTGCACGCCGTTGTGGCGGGAAGCACATTTCAAAGTCAAAATGTTAAAAACACCACATGACCGGACCACTTTTGGAATGTGAGATGCCGCTGCGGCGCGAAGCCGCTGTGGCGCGAAGCACATGTCAACAGAAAAATGTGAAAAAACACACCACGTTCGGATTACTTTTGGACGTTCAAGTGCCGTTTTGTGTGGCAGGCGCAATGGGTTCTGCACCTTGCGAAAGGTGAGCAAAACACGAGGGTTTTGTAGCAATTGCAAAAACGATGGCAGGCGTGGAATGTTGGAAGGTGATCTGCAAAGATGGATTTCGGTGGATTTCGGTACAAGAGACATCTTCATCAAAGATGTTGGGTGGTTAGGGCGCTAATTTCCTGAGAGCAGTTGCATTTTGGGGGATCAAATCTTGAGGTTTGCTGAGATGATTTTTCGTGACAGGCGCAGCACTCCGTATGACCTGGCCTCACTTTTTCGTGGCAGGCGCAGTACTTTAGCCAGATGGAGTGGAAAATTTACAAAACGCATGCATTGGTCCGAGCCCGTCAGCTCTGCAGTCAACTTCCATTTTGAAGGAAGTCTCGCAGAATTGCTTCGTTTTTTGATGTTGTCAACTTCGAAACTTGAAGTAGTCCCGCAGAAATTCTTTGTTCTTGGAGGTGTCAAGTGTCAACTTCCAGTTTTTTCAAAAGTCTTCTATATGCTCCGTTTTGGACCTGCCAGCTTCCTTTTTTAAAGGATTTCTCGCATAATTGTGTCCTACCTGAAAAGGTAGAGAGCTAAATAAATAGATAGACCGACAGATAAATACACAGACAGATAGGTAGACAGAGGGACAGACGGACAGACCGACAGACAGGCAGACAATTAGAAAGACAGATAGGCAAATAGATAGTCAGATAGTCAGATAGCCAGAAGGCAGATAATCAGATGGTCAGACAGATAAATAGATTTATAGACAGATAGATAGACAGACAGACAGACAGATAGATAGGTAGATAAGTACATAGATAGATAGATAGATAGATAGATGAGATTAGATGAGATTAGATTAGATTAGATTAGGTTAGGTTAGGTTAGGTTAGATTAGATTAGATAGATAAATAGATAGATAGATGGATAGTTAGATAGATAGGTAGATAGTCCAATCAGATAGACAGATAGACAGATGGACAAACAAACAGACAGAGAGAGAGAGAGAGATATATATATATATATGTACCACATCAGCATCAACACCATCATCAACCATCATGGCCCGCACCAACATCATAACCGAAGGAAATTAGAAGTCAAACTTCCGACTTTTGGACAAATGCAGCAACAGCTGTGAGAGCCATCAGGGAAAGGGTGAGAAGGGAAAGAGGCAGAGAAGAAAGAGACAGAGAAGAAAGAGACAGTAGAAAGAAGAGCAAGGTGCGAGAAAAGGCAAAAAAAAGGTGCGAAACACTCTATTTTTCACATGTTTTCTGGCTCTGGAAGCTTAAAAAGTAGGCTCGCTAAAGCGGCGGGTGCGAGCTACCTCGTGATCGCCCAGCTTTCCATGTCGAAAAGGTAAATAACTAGATCGACAGATAAACAGATAGATAGATAGATAGATAGATAGATTAGGTAGGTAGGTAGGTAGGTAGATAGGTAGATAGATAGATAGATAGAAAGATAGATAGATAGATAGATGGGTGGGAAGATAATGAAATAGATAGAGGCAGAAATAGTGATAAAGATAGCGATAGAAATAGCAATATAGATAAAGATGGAAATAGAGAAAGAGACGCAGATAAAGAGAAATAAAGAGATAGAAACATAGAGATATAGAGGGAAAGGCGGGTACACAGACAAACGGACACAGACACATACACAGACACAGACACAGACAGACAGCTAGAGAGATAGAGAGATAGGGGAGACATAGAAAGACGGAGAAAATCAAAAAGAGAAAAAAGATAGATACAGAGATTGGGCAAGATTGACAGAGGCAGGTAATGGATTGGAAACTAAATAGAAAAAGCGGGAGAGATAAATAGATAGCTAGACATATGGACAGACAGGCAAAGAGACAGATAGACAAAGAGACGGATAGACAGACAGACAGACAAACAAACAAACAAACAGACAGATAAATAGATAGATCAGTAAATAGATAGACAAATAAATAGACAAATGGATGGATAGATAGGTACATAGATAGATAGATAGATAGATAGATAGAGAGATAAATAGACAGACAGACAGACAGATAGACAGATAGACAGGCACACAGATAGTCAGGTAGACAGATAGACAGGTAGACAGATAGACAGGCAAACAAATAGATAAACAGATGAACAGATAGACAGGTATACAGATAGATGGGCGGATAGATAGGCACAAAGAAAGATAGACAAAGAGACAGGCAGGCAGATAGACAGACACACAGACACACAGACACACAGACACACAGACACACAGACACACAGAGACAGATAGACAGACAAACAGACAAACAGACAGACAGACAGATAAATAGATAGATAGTTACATGGAGAAGGAGATAGAGGTAGAGATAGACAGAGAGAGAGAGAGAGGGATTTAGAGCCTCAACCACCTGTCGATCCATCAGTGGGTTCGCTCTACCATCCATGCATCACAACAACCCACCTCTCCTATAGGTGTCCTATCTTTGAAACTTCCGTCACCGCCTTTTGCTGTACTACTGGTATATCGGGCCCCACCGTGTTCCAAGAAAATAATGATGTGATCAGTCTTGATAAATTCATGCAAAACCCACAAGAGAGCACTTGGAGTTTAAAAGAACAGTATAAATCCAGAAATCCATAGAAATCCAACAACATCGCTCCGAATAATAGGAAATTCCAAGGCTCTGTCCACCGAGCCAATCTCTGGCGCTCAGCTGTTGCTTCAACTTCTGCAGCTCCTCATCGAAGGGCTTCGGATCCACTTCGCAAACTACCTGTCCCAAAGTGCCAAGCTGTCTCTCAAGGTTGATTTTGTTAATGTTCTTTCTTGTTTGAAGTGTCCAGCTGGAGGAGACATGGCAAAAACATGCAAAAACATGAAATACTGATGGCGTAGGCTGACATAATCTTACGTATCATAAATATCATAGTATGTCGACACCTGCTCAAGGTTTGTAGTTCCATTTCGGAAGTACTTCATGAAAAAAATATGGTGCAACGTCAGGTGCACCTGAGCATAGGATGCCAGCAAGCGCCGGTAGGAGTCCCACACGCAATTCGCGTTCTCCTGCAGCGCCATCCTCTCGGCGATCTCATCGGTCAAGCCCAAACCGATGACTTCTTGGGAGCTGCCCCGGAGTGACATCAAGAGTGGCTTGTCCAAGCTGCCAAAGCCTTTCTGGAGAAAAGTCTCCACGTGGGACATTGCCATTTTAACACTGGGCCATGAAGAATCTGTAAGGCAAAACCCTGGTGGCACTGGTAGACCCAAGTTGCCCATCTCACACAACTGTGTGGCATCCTTGCCTCAAACGCAAACGTGACATCACGTGGCGTATTATTAACACAACAGCTACGAACACTTTAAGGCTTAAGGCATCAAAAGCCTATCAAAGGCGCAAGGCAAAGCAACTGAAGCAGCTTGAGAAGGCAGGGTGAGAAAAGCAATCTGCAAACAAGCGGCCGAGCTGTTTTGCCAGGGTCACATGCCGAGTTGACTGGCACAAACCAAAGAAACAGGTTGAGCCACATTCGTCCAGGCTTGGAATCTCTAGAGAGGCATTGTTGCCGTCAGCACCAAGTACGCCCTGCCATTTGCTGATATGCCGACTTGGGGCCTATGAACCTTCTCAGTACTGGATGCTAAACAATCACACATTGTGAAAGACTCAATCTGCCCGAATCTGGACTCTTTTAACAGACCACAACAGACTACATGCTCCAACAGCGCCCACCACTGTTTCCATTTCCATCATGATCATTCCATAGACAGACTTGTTGTTCTGAAGCCATTGGCGCATCACCCTGCAGAACTATCGCAACTATATAAGTACGGGTGAAGCAGAATGTACTCATTTTTGGTCCTCTTTGCCGTTCACGTGCATCCTCGTGCCACTCCCACCCTTCCTTTTCACACCCACCTTGTCTTGGAGAACATGCTTGATTCGGCTCCGCCGAGACGATTGCTCAAAGGTGGTGCCTACGATGCTACTCAAGATGCTCCCGCACTGATCGATGGCTGCGCTCATCACCTCCGAGTCCTGCAATTCCTGAACAAAGTGCCAGTGCTGCTGGCGGCATCCAAGGCAGTGTATACCGCTTCTACCTTTCCAAAGCTGTTCTTTTCCATTCCTTCCCTTGCCTCGTCCACGTACTTTAGGACATGGCCATTGGCTTTCACAGCTTGCAGAACAAAGCCGCGGTCGCGCTGTAATTTCGTGCTGCAGAATTTAAAAGCTCTGCCACACTGGGCGACTGCCTCTAGTGTTAGATCAGAATCACCACGAAGATCTGAAGAGGCGAACCTTTGGTGCGCAATGAAAGCTGGAGCTGACTGCGTTGCCCAAGTTCCCAGCATCCCAAATTGCCAAATCACCGTTGCAGACTACAGAAGCCTCAGGGAGGCCGCTTATGGTTCAAGAATGGTCAAGATACTGCAAGGCAAGGCCATTTTGCCGCACTGCCGCCAAAGCTATGGCCTGCAAAAAGGCCCAGACGAACTTCCCCCAACGAGAAGCAACAAACCGACTCCAGTCACAAGCGATATCTTTCCCAAGCACGGTATCTTTAAGAGCGTCAACAACTGTGATTATCCTCTTAGTGTCTCTGTGGGGCAACTAGGTTGGCACTTTCATGCCTGAAGACCTGCGAACACTCTGTTTCTGAAAATAGTTTCTTGATCTTTATTTAGTAGACATTGTGTTTTTTCCTTGTTTCTCAGAATCATCTCTCTTAAGTCCCTTAAGGTTCTGAACATGGCTGAACCATTGTTATGTTTTCACACAGCACAATTCAGGAAAAGGGCTTGGGGATCAGGTGAAATTGAAAACGATCTGCCATGTAGCCGGGTGTTTGACTGCTTGATTGCAAGTTCAGTGAGTATGGTAGGACCTGGTAGGACCTTTGTGTCAAATAGTCACTGTTTCAAGCTTTCATGATTACCCAACCAATCCTGTTGCAGTCGACAATGGCACATGAATGGAAGTCATCTAGGGATCCAAAACCAAGATCATGGCAATGATGTTGTGGTTTTTAAAGGCAATATGTTTTTTGGAAATCTTGACTTTTTGGCAGCCCAAGAAAGTGACTTGCCCCACTCAAAACAATGGAGCCATGAACTGCCAAAAGTTCTTCCGCACCTTATCGTTCCTGAGAGGCTCAGAGGCATACTGCAAGGCCCACCCGCAGGAAGACACTGCAGCAAAAACTGTCGATTTGTCATCCCAGACCTGTCACAAGGAACTTCGCTGGCAAGGCTACTGCCACAGAATCACAGAAAATTAAAATGGATCCAATATCAAAAAATATTATATAATTCAAATGCACAGGCAGATTGTACGGCTGACGTATGGTCACATCTCATATCATCTCATCACATCTCCATGGTCTGCTTTTCTCCTGATGTCCTTCTCTTGCAGCCTCAGCGGATTGGTTCAATAATTCGCTCCAATCCTGCAACGAACGCGCGAACCAGGGCATAGTGCCCTCGCCAAAATGATAATGATCGGCTGACCTTTCTGGTTTGGGTGTCTCGATTTCCCATCTAGCTTCGCATTCCACCAGTTTCATCCATTTTCTTGTATGGCTCATGTTGTGTTTTCTGCAAGTGATTAGTTGCTTGTACCCTCTTTTCCCCCAGTTTTGGGTCTCGCTGTGTGGTATGTTACAATGAAGAGCAGCTTGTGGACACCAGCCACAGCTCAGCTTTGTCATGAGCACGTGCATCTTCTCAACAAATCTTCGCAACGAATCTTCGCATATCTTCGCATATAAATGTCACTTGCATATCTGATGTCTCCTCCACAGCCAAGCGAAGCCATAGAACTTGTTGCTGAGTACGTCTCACCAGAGTCACCTGGTTGCCAAAACGAAGCACATGTCACACTCATCAAGGCTAGTGCGGCTAGTGCTCTTGCTGTGAGGCTTTCAAAACGAAGGATTGAGTCATTCAGTCAATTTGTAAACCAATGATTTTGCATACTCCCTTTGATCGTATGGACTCCGAGCGAGCGATCCGACCTCTGGACGTTCGATGTTCAGCAAATCATCCAGCAGCTCAACATCAGGCAACTCTCGGAGGTCATAAATCAGTCGCTGTTCAACTGGGTTGATCCCTGTGACCTCAGAGGCTTTTGGCTTCAACTGGAACCTTCTCCACAAAGTTGGGACAATGGATGGCAAAGAAGTGGCTTTCCAATCTGCTTAGTATCTGCAAATGTAAGAACACGGGGACGCACTCGACTCTAACATACAAATATTCAAAATACACATTGATCATCTGCGGTTTTTCTTTTGCGGACCTCAACGATTGGCCGTGCGGCCAAATGGACCTACATGCCACGGCCACATCTCCCATCCCACAGTAATGCTAAGAGCTGAGCTTTGTGGATGGCTTCCTTCAGTCACACAGCGATGCCGCTACGTATGACAAAACCATGCACAAGAATAGGTAGAAAAATGACTTGATACCGACTTGATACGGACTACTGCAAAGTGAAGAACAAATTGCACATCGTTGTGCCCTCCCTCAATTCTCCCCACTCCCGATCCTTCAAATTGCTGATGTGCCAGGAGCTGCAAATGTCATCCACAACGCACAGGTGGCCAGCGGCGCTGTTGACCACTACACTCCGTCCTTCCACAGGGCCTTCCATGTTTCCTTCCTATCATCGACTTATCGAGTTTCGCTTGAAAAAAAAATGCCGCTGCAGTCGAGAACTTCGCTTTCACCGATGCAATCCCTGTCATCCCTACAGTATTGACAGGACCGTACCCTAAAGGAGGTCAAGATGGTCAAGCAATGACTGTGAGCCAAGGGCTTCTTTCTCCTAACCTATGAGTCATCATATAGGGTCATTGGTGGATACTTTGTGGGCCAGGAAAGATTCTGCACTGTCACAGTGTGGGACAGCTTCTGGGACTGTAGCTTCTACAAAATTCGGAAAAATTGAGGTGAAGCATGTCGCTAGGGAAACCTCAAGCTGAGTAGGACCGAGTTTCAAAAGAACATCCAGCTATGGCAAGGGGAAGAATTTCAAAAGGGCATCTGCTTGTCCCTCTCTGGCTAAGGCAAGAACACTGAGCCTAAAAGTCTGTCCATTTTTACACAGGTTTGTAGGAAGCATCTGCCAGGATTAAAACTCACCTGGGTGGAGGATGAAAACAGCGACCAGCTTGCACTAGTCACCAGTTCTCTACCAGACTCTACCGAGTGTTTCTGAATGCAACCTCACAGACTCAGTGTCAACTTGGGCCTCGAGTCTAAAAGAAGCATCAATAGCATCTGTGTCCACTGAGGCTCCATCAGCATGAATTTGCACGAATTTGCTATCCGCCGACCAATGCCAATCAGTGGCCGCCATGCATCATGTCCGAATTACACAGCAAAGCTACATACAGCACAGCAAGTGCCACCAACATGTTGCAACTTGTTGCACCCTAGAAAGCCAAGAGCACATCTCGGCACAATCAATCAACACCAACAGCAGAACACTCTGGCTTTTCAATTGCAAGCACCTCATCACAGCCCTACGAAGGGTCAGGCTGATGCATTCCATGCCCTCCATATCGCTCCACTGAAATCCGTAAGATCAACCCACCTGACCAGCTCTCGTGCATTGGGTGGGCAACCAAAGGCAACCGCCATCACTATTTTTAGATCTCTATTTCTATGAATAAATAATTAAACGTATAGATATATATATATATATATGATTTTATATATATATATGATGATGATGATGATGATGATGATGATGACGATGACGATGACGATGATGATGATGATGATGATGAGGGATGATGATGATGATGATGATGATGATGACATATAGTATAATATAATATAATATAATATGATATAATATAATATAATATAATATAGTATAATATAATATAATATAATATAATATAATATAATATAATAATAGTAGCAATGATAATAACAATAGTAATAAGAATGATAATAACAATAATAATATAATATAATAATAATAATAATAGTAATAATAAAAACAATAACAATAAAATCAATATATATATAATATACATTATATATGCACATATTCCCCAAACTTACAACCAAGCTGCCAGTCTGCTTCTCTCTTGGCCAGTCGTGGTTCCACATTCAACTGAATCATCTCTCGAGGCTGGCCACCTATCAAAGCAGCATGAAGGAAGTTGGACAGCAAAACACGGCCATGTTTCTCACGAAATTGGAGACGAAACTTTCACACTTGTTTCGGTCAGAGGCGCCATGCAGCGAGGCATTTCAAACCACTTGTGGATTCACATGCAACGTCGAACAAAACGGGACACCCTCTAGCCGCACTCGCCGCTCTGGCCGCTCTAGCCGACAAGTTCTGCCGCTGAACCCAAGAGAAACCATTCTGCCTCCTTGATGACGCAGTACATGCTGTGTCAAGCCGCTCCTCTAGCCAGAATGGAAAGGGAAAAGAATGGGAAGAGAAGGAAGGGGTTCTCTGCCTCTGGCACCTTCGATTTACATCGATTTATAGTGTTTCCATGCTTTTATCCATTTCATTGACAAGTCTACGCTTGATTCTGGCACGGAGAAGTTTCTCACGATTGCTAACAACAAATTCCCAATGAGGTAGCAGTCCTTGGGCATTAATCCCCCAATACTCTCTGGGAATTGCGCGAAAGACCCAAAGAGATCCAAAGAGATTCAAAGAGCACATCGCATCCACCCAAGGTTAGGAAGTGCTTCATTTCATTTCACCCTTGCTCCATGCAAACCACTTGCACCCAGCCTGTGTGCGGCGTCGCAGCTTTTCCAATGCCTACGCAAAGGGATTAGGACATTAGGACATTTATAGCGCGTTTCCAAAAAGCAGCTAATGAGTTAATGCAGCTATATATACATTTGTTACCTACATACTCGCCCTCTCTCTGTCTCTGTCTGCATAATTTTCTGCTCAGAAACCATCACAATTTCCTTCGAACAAACCTGCCCAAAAAAAAAAACGTCCTTAGGAAGCTCTCCTCAGCCCTGCGCTGGAGGTCTCCCAGTCACAGACAGGCTTGCAATGGTTTGCCCTTGGGAATCTCCCTGCCTCTTGCTGCCGCTGCAATCTCAGCTGCAACTCTCTATAAAAGCCTTGGTTGGTGCAAATGAACTGAGTCGAAATTGGCAACTGTCGTCACTGCCGTCTTTGCTTTGCTTGGGCTTCTGGGATTGGCCAACACCTTCGCTCACAAATCCGAAAATTTTCCGCTAGGTTTGCAAATTAAAAGTTCCGAAGCAAACCAAGGAGTGCATGTACTTACACTGCTATGCAGCAATACTTCCAGTAAGAAGTTAAGATTTTATAGTTGTCATGGCGGAAACTTGAAGTTCCTCATTCCTTCCAGGCCAGCCTTCTGCATTGAAACGGCTCTCATCGCGCCAGGCTGTCATTGGGAAGCCAGCTGCGTTTGCTCTCGAAGAGTTGTTTATGTTTATAGAATTTATGCAAGTAAAGACCTGCAATGCTCCAGTGCGCCAATGGCATAGCCTTAATGTGGCCGAAAAAATTAGTCCATGGCTCTGGGCCAGATGAATCACCTCTGCAGAAAACAAACCCTTGCAAACTTTGGAACGCAAACGAACTTGACTGTTGAGCCCAAAAAAATGGTAAGGAGAAGCATGGTTGCACCGGGTACCAGGATGGATTAGGGACAGCTGCCAGATTCATACAAGAATGATAACTTCTACGTTGCCAGATTGGCATGTGTTCCAATGAAATTGGAAACCACGAAAGCCCGTTCGGCTTTTACTGAGGAAAAAAACACTCACAAGGAGATGAGCCTAGGGCCATTCACGATGAGAAGGAAATGACGGTTACGAAGATAATGACGAGCATGAGGACGAGAGTGACAGTTTTTTCTTTCGTGTATACGAGAGCGACAATAGGTATGTACAGGGGAATGATTTGTATCTACTTGTTTGTATATATATATATATATATACCTGTGTCTGTGTGCGTTTGTGCGCGTCCGTACATTACGTGCGTGGTTGTACATGAGTCTTGTCAAACTTGTCGTTTGACGTGTCTACAACCGCGTAGATTCTACACATTTGGGCATAATGATGAGGATGATGAGGATGATGACGGTGACGACGACGAGGCTGATGATGATGATGATGATGATGACGACGATGACGATGATGACGATGATGACGATGATGACGATGATGACGATGATGACGATGATGACGATGATGACGATGATGACGATGATGACGATGATGACGACGACGACGATGATGATGATGATGCTGATGCTGATGGTGATTCTGATGCTGATGCTATGCTGATGCTGATGCTGATGCTGGTGCTGCTGCTGCTGCTGCTGCTCGTGCTGGTGCTGCTGGTGCTGCTGGTGCTGGTGGTGCGGAGGAGGAGGATCAGGATCAGGATCAGGATCAGGATCAGGATCAGGATCAGGATCAGGATCAGGACGAGGATCAGCCCGAGGATCAGGACGAGGATCAGGACGAGGATCAGGACAAGGATCAGGACGAGGATCAGGAAGAGGATCAGGACGAGGATCAGGACGAGGATCAGGACGAGGATCGGGACGAGGATCAGGACGAGGATCAGGACGAGGATCAGGAAGAGGATCAGGACGAGGATCAGGACGAGGGTTAGGACGAGGATCAGGACGAGGATGAGGAAGAGGATCAGGACGAGGATCAGGACGAGGATCAGGACGAGGATCAGGACGAGGATCAGGACGAGGATCAGGAAGAGGATCAGGAAGAGGATCAGGACGAGGATCAGGACGAGGATCAGGACGAGGATCAGGACGAGGATCAGGACGAGGATCAGGAAGAGGATCAGGACGAGGATCAGGACGAGGGTTAGGACGAGGATCAGGACGAGGATCAGGACGAGGATCAGGACGAGGATCAGGACGAGGATCAGGACGAGGATCAGGACGAGGATCAGGAAGAGGATCAGGAAGAGGATCAGGACGAGGGTTAGGACGAGGATCAGGACGAGGATGAGGAAGAGGATCAGGACGAGGATCAGGACGAGGATCAGGACGAGGATCAGGACGAGGATCAGGACGAGGATCAGGAAGAGGATCAGGACGAGGATCAGGACGAGGATCAGGACGAGGATCAGGACGAGGATCAGGACGAGGATGAGGAAGAGGATCAGGAAGAGGATCAGGACGAGGGTTAGGACGAGGATCAGGACGAGGATGAGGATGAGAATGCGACAACCAAAGATGTAGAGGGGCTGACCAGATCATCGTGAAATTCTTGTCGCTACATTGACGAAACTGAACTCTGAGAAGTTCCATCCTATGCACTGTGGCCATCGGGACAACTCCATCATCTGAGCAGCGTCCCACATGCACAACACACTCTTGACAAGGATGCAAGAATCTCTTGGCAAACAAAAATTGAAACTGCCGAGCTCCGACCAGCACATCCCACAAACAGAAAGTGCATTTTTCAATACAGCATTGAGAATGAAGCCAGCCTTTGCGGCAAAGCAAGAGATCAGGTCTGCTCCTGATTGCTTCAAGATCTTCAAGTTGCAAGCGCTTTGGCTTCACAAAAAATGTCTCATCCGATTTGGACAGAACTCACAATCTATGGCGCAACCGCACGGAGCCTTCAAAGATCTGTGATCGCATGTGGCCGAGGCAAACACTATCTGAGAAAGGGGTAAAATTGACTCCTCGGCA